TATTTGATTTCATCATCCCAGAATACCAACTCTTATCATCTTCCAATCACAGCAACAAGCTATTTTTCAAATTAGTCCAGGGTTCTGGTCTCAACCATCCTCCTGGTAACCTGTTGTAATTGCTAATCATCCCCTGGTTAAAGAAACCCTGGTGTCTGTCTTCGAATTTCCCTTTGCAACTCTAAACCCATGTCCTCTTGTTCTACTGTCTTGGTACATCTGGTTTTACTTTTTCAATGCTATTCAAAATTTTATATACTTCTATGAAGTGCTCCTCTGCCCTGCCTCTGGGCCCTGGGCAACCCCTCTATGTTGTGGTGACCAAGCATGTATGTAGTATCTAGGTGTGTTGTAACCAAAGCACTATGCAGCTTAAGTGTGATGTCTGGGGAACTGAATTGATTTGATAATATACCCTAGAATCCTATTTGCCTTGTTTATTGCTGCCTCGCACTGTTGTGACGTGGTGAACAATGAAGTCAATTAACAACCCTTGACCTCTCTCAGCTTCCCCCTTGCCAATTTCTGACCCATCTATGGAGAACATATTTTTCCTATTATCCTTTATGTAGTACCTTAAATTTATTTCTATTAAACTTAATTTGACAATTACAACATCTTCCCGAAAGACATTTACTACCTTCTCTGATTTCAGTCATTGACCCCGCCCCCCCCCCAAAAAAAAAACTTGGTGTCATCAGAGACCCCTAACAATGACTACCTGCTTCTTTCCCTTCAGCTAAATCTGAATCAATTTTCATGTTTTGCTCTTGCTACCTGGTGAGCTCAGTTTCTTAAGGAATCTTTCATATGTTCGTAGGACAGCTAAGTCAAAATGGGGGTGGGTTGGGAGTGGAAAGGCTGGGGGTTCAGGCTGGGAACTCTCCTGCTTCTAGTATACTTAACCTGGATTTGCACACTCAGTGCAAATTAGTTTCAATTTGCAGATGGTACTAATCTAGGAAGAATAGTAGAATCCGACTTTTCAATTGTGTGATGTGTTTTATTAGTTCTCAGGCGTGCCGTAGATGGTGACAGGAAGGTACCGTCTGCTGTTATTTTTACTGTTGGAGTAGTTGAAAAATATCCAGATAGGAAAAGTTAATAAATTCAAGATTGTTCATTTTAATAGCTCTCTTGAGTATCATAGCTGTTGTGCAGAGTGTGATATTCTTGGATTCAGTTTATTCCAAAAAATGAAGAGTTTCAAATGTTTTGAGCAGGCAAACATGAAACGTTAAACACAATTGGATGAAGAACTTCCAAATGTGAGAGAACAGTTTTTATTATTGCCCAAATATTTGATAGTTCTGGAGCAGTGTTTTAAGTGTTACTTACTACTTGGCAAGTCAGATTCGCTTTGGATTCATTTAACTCTGCACTTTGCCAAACAGTTGTTGGAACCAGAGAAAACTGATTCTGTAAAGGAATAAAACATAACTTTGAAAACACCGAAGAGCAGATCAGCAGGTTGGAAAGTCTAACAACAAGGGATTACATGAGGTAGCACATTCTTGATAATTTCTTTTTTTTAGCTCAATGGAACTAGAAAACAGAATCAATTTTTTTCTAGCTTTTGGGGATTTGTTCATCTGAAAATTATGTCAGGGTGATAGAAATCAGACTTGCTTATTAAAACCTGCTTACATTTCTTCATAAGGGGATTTTGATCTATAATTTAAATATCCTCAAGAGATTAGTGTAAAGCAAGAGCATGTTGAAGAGATAGGGGGATTCCAGAGAGTGAGGGATTTAAATACAAGAATGAGGATCTTGAAATCGATCCACTCTGTGACAGGGAGCCAGTGGAGTTTGACAAAGACTAGGGTAATGGAGGTACGGAGTTTAATGGAGTGCTGTAGCTCAGTGGTTAGAGCACTCATAAGCGAGAGACCTTGGTTTGATTCCTTGCAGGGCGAAACATTGGCCAAGTTTCCTGCTCCACTTGCCTCTGTTTATCTAGCAGTAAGTAGGAACCCGGTTGATAGTTGATTGGCGGATTGCTTTACTTGGGGTACAGTTCCTCAAAAAAAAATTGGTCACTTCAATCGACAACTGTTTGTAGGACACTGCTGTGTGTAATTGGCTGCTGCGTTTCACCCACAAAATATAGTAAATTCGCTTTATAATATATTCTGTGAATCTCTTTGAGAAGTCTCGAAGTCGTGATAAGGCGCTATATCAATTGCAAGGATTATTATAGTGCGGGTAAGAATGCGGGTGGCAGAGTTTTGAATTAGTTGAATTTTATGAATATTGGAGTAGGGGAGACCGGTGAGGAGGGCATTTGAATAGTCGAAGCGGAAGGTGACGAAGGCGTGGACGAGGGTTTTGGAAGCTTTCGGAGTGAAGTATGGAGGGAGAGAGGCAGGCAATGTGGAGGAAAGCAGTCCTGGCCAGGGACAAGTTGTGTAGAAAGGAAAGCTGGGGACTGAACCTGACGCCAAAGTTGCACAAGGGTTCAGTGAGTCTTTGGGAGAGATCGGGTAGGGTGAGGAGGTCTGAACTGCAGGAGAGAAAACATTGACGAATGCTAAAGAGTATGGTTTTCTGTCTTGTTCAGCTGCAACAACACATCCAGGCCTTGATTTCTGTCAGACAAGGCTGATAGAACCAGCGGACTGGGAGTTGCAGCTGGAGACCGAGAAGTAGATTTGCATGTCATCTGCATGCATGTAGATTGCATATGTATCTGAATGTATTTTGTGTCAACCATATCTAGATGAGTGGTTGATTGGAGCACATTCTAAGGAAGAGTACTATTCACTTTGGGTAGCAGAGTTCTGGCAAATTCAGACTCAAATTCAGACTGTTCCAGGCTCAAATCATGATGCCTAGTTTCCCTTCCAAAGAAACAATTTCTAGAAACCCATAGGTAACCATTATACTTATCAGAATGCAGGACCCCAGCCAAAGCCTAGTTTTCAATGATAAGGTGATGGTGATTGTAGTCTTTCTTAATATGTGATAGTTTGTGTGGTAACTGCAATTGAAATATTGGTGAAATGTTCTATTTTCTAGTGTCAGAGGAAACTATTGCAGAATTTTTCAGATAGATTGAACAAATGTTCAATAATTAGTAATGTGTACATTACCATCTGCTGGAGAAAGAAATTGTGTCAAAAGATTTTTATAATCCTTGCATTTGATATAGTGCATGGAGAATCTCTCAATCTCTCTTATTGTGAAGTGGAGTGACTGTGTATTTAGAAAGTGAATGTGGCAGATGGTTTGCACACAGCAATGTCCTACAAACAAACATGAAGTGAATTATCAGTTTTATATGAGGCTTTGTTAGCTAGAATACTGGGAGAAACTTCTTTTTTTGAATATTATCATAGGATCTTTAACGTTCACCTAAACAAACAGATGGGACCTCAGTTTAATGTCTCATCTGAAAGATGGCACCTCGGAAAATGCAGTGCTCTCCCAGCTCTGAATTAGGATGTCATCCTAAACTATGAGTTCAAGGTTCCAACATGGGGTTTGAATCCAAAACTTCTCGCTTAGAGGCGAAAGGGCTACCAACTAAACCAGTGTGATACCTAGAGTAGAGTAGGTGCAACAATGTTATTTATTGATTGGCATCCACTGTGATAAACCAAGCAACACAAATGTATTCCTGACAAATACTAAAGTAAAGTCTTTCATTACCTTTATTCTTCCATATTTTATAATAATAAAACATGGATCTGTATTTTGTTATAAGTTTGTTCTAGATTAAGAAATAAGCCATGCCATCAACTCAGCGAGGAACCAACTGTGCACTTAAACATCAAGTGCAAGACATTTCTCTTGCTGCCAAGTATAGAAACGTGTGTATTCATAAAAATATTCCAAGACTACATTGTCAGTCGCTACACTTAGCAGCAAGGGGAATTTCACCTTGTAGCTCTTTCACACAGCACCAGTTTTGACAACTTTTTACTTTTGATTTAGAAAACATTCTTTATTTTTGTTACATCAGTTTGATCTAGATTATAGCACAAGGCCATGGGTATACAATTGAAAGCTATAATTGATGGGAAGAATTCCAGGCCTGTGTTATGTGAACATTGCTCTGAGGGGCAGAACGGAGGATATCCAGGATTGGTTTGATTTATTTCTCCTTCTGTATTTACTGTGTATCAACAAACTACATGAACTTCAGTCATTAAAATTGTACATTAATAATACATTTTACCAGCTGGGAAGATTTAAATTGCATTCAATTGAGTTGACAGGGCTTAAATAATGAATTTGGTGGCACCTTGAGTTCATTGGTTTCTACTGTTGTGTTTCTGCTTTCAGATTTCTGTTTTGAGCATACTACTTTAATAATCTTAAAAACTTTGTCTTGTTACTTTTTAGGTGGGCTAATGTTCACCTAATACTTGTCAATGCTGCTAAACTACATGGCAGAATATTAGCTTGAATAAAGAGCAGAATTTTAGTGGTTATTGGATATTCACAGTGTTTTGTCCATTAGGAATAGAATTAAATGAATGATTTGCTTTCAAACTATTTTTGAATGATTTTGCTATTTTTGCCATCATGAAACTTTTTTGTGTTTAAAGAACCATCATAAGTTAAACAAAGTTAATTTAAAAAAAGGCCAAAAGCAAACTTAAGGAAATTTAGATCACAGGCTTGTTTTGAAGAGGGTGTACAAAAATCAAGGAAGAAAATGGAAAAAAAAATTTTGATTGTTAAATTAATTTTTTCGTTAACTTCATTCTTCTCTCTGTTAATTCATTATGGTCATCTACTTCACAATGAGTTGTATTGAAGTGCAATAACTGCTTTGTAAACAAATACAGAAACTAATCTGTTCCGCCAATATCCCACAAGCAGCAATTGACTATCACTAAATAGGCATGTTTTGGCAAATTTGGATGAGAGGTACACTGGCCAGGATACTATGAAAAGTTCTTGCTTTCCTTCAAATTAGTATGCATTGCAATCAGCCTTTAATATTTTTGGGAGTCTGTAATATCTTTTCATTTTGTTTTCTATTGCAGATTTTCAGTGCTTGAATTCAAGCAAACAAAAGGGGTATTGAAATTCTTCTTCAATGCCAGATTTACACTGAAGTTTAAACAGTACATCGGTGAGTATAATACCATATACATTTAATTTGTAAGCATAATGGTGTCAGAATGGAGCAGTTTTATGAAGTTAGATCAGATCTTCGGATGTTACTCAAAGACAGTGTGAAAGACATTCTAAATAATAAGAGTGCAATGATAATGGCTAGCCAATAACCACTGTATCCAATTCTGTGAACGTTTATATTACTATAATGAATGCTATATTTCACTTTTATATTAGGGGACCCATCATAAAATGAGCGTTTCCTAGGAAAACACACAGTCTCCAAATTTTCTGGTATTTTGGGAGGAAGAATGTAAAATTCTATACCTAGAACTTGATCGTCACAAGGTTATTGTGGTGCTATGGAACTCGTCAGAATACTCACCAAATTCCTAACTATTATCTGTAATTCAGTACTTTATATTAGTCGTTGAAGTTAATGGCACTACGAATGTCTAATACAATAAGCAGCACCATTATTTTCACAGACTTTGCAATTTCTGATAAAACAACGAGCTGGTATTTTTGAACTAGCTATATTAGGTAAGTTTTTAAAACTATTTTGGTTTCAGGTTTAAAAAAAGGTATTGCTTATCTTGGAATCAAAGACTAACAGCACAGAATTGGATCTTTTAGCCAATCAATTTGCCAACTGGTATTTTTCTCCATGTGGTCCACCTAGTTAAATCCCATTCTCTTGCTTGCTCCCGTACTTGTTTTCAAACATCTAATTTCCTTTCAAAATAATTCATATCTTTTGGTTCAGCAATGCTTTATGGTAAAGCTGTGGGAGTGGAAATAATGCCGCCCTTGATGCAGGGTGTCAGGAAGTTTCTCGAGCTGAGGGGAAGGCAACCGGTTCTCTTTACCAACAGTGCCCTCTGAAATGCTGGCTCCTGCCGCTGCCATAAGAGGATAGTTCGCCAGGGAGTAAGAGTGTGGGTAGGCCGGATGAAATCACCCCCTGGGCTAATGCGGCCCACGGGCCACCAATTAAACCACCCTGGTCTATAATATTGATGACCAGGACAAGTATGTTATATTTAAAGTGTAGGTCACTAAATATTTTAACATTTTTGTTCACACAACAGATGAAATTGGAACTGAAAAGCATTAGAGTAAGAAAATGATACTTTTTTGTATACAGTATTAGTTTTTCTCTTATGATTTCCTAAAGCTATAATAATTTATTCAAGTGCAGAAAGCTTAATAAAGGTAGACTATTTTAACTGAGGTAAATTGAAGTACTGCACTGCCATTAGAAATGGAGCACAGGTTGTCTTTGAGCTATTATAATAAATAGCATTAGACCACTGTTACACTTACAGACTTGATGTCTTCCTTTGCTTATCCATATTCCCTCTAGGAGTCCTGTGCTACACTGCATGAATAGTCCTAGGAAAATGGAACGTAGCGATATGCAACTGAGCAGATGTTGTAAGCTTGTCACAGATAAGGCAGCTGCAGGTCCTTTGCTGACCTAGTGAGTATTGGGAACTCATGTACACAAGCAAGGTGTTTACAGAGAAGAGTTTTAAAAGCATTCTTATGGATGGAAAATATAGTAAAATATAGAATATTTGCTTTTTTTGAGGCCGTTAAAAATCTCCAGTTTCAAATTACACTTGAGCTGAAATACATGTGCACCAATCATCTCGAACAGTTCTAAACACTGAAATTATATTGGAAGAGAAACTCTAGAATATTTGCCTCCTCTTTCTGTAATCATAAAAAGCCCTTTAAAACTATGAACAAGCAGAAATATATAGAAGAAGAATATTTGTTGAAACCTGGCAAAATGTGAAATTGAACGGCAATATAAGTATATGTCTTGCTTTAGGTAGAGAAATCTGCTTGGTATTAGAGAACAACTTTGTGGGCAGAATTCAACAGAGTACATTTGAATTAGCAGCTTGATCTGCAAATAGGGCATGTGCAAGAAGTACCATATTCTAGACTGATCGATTCTTATCCAATTGGAGTTTAGGGCTTTGACAAGTTGTAATCTGTTAAACGATGACTGAAGTTGTATTTTCTTACTGGCAGCTATTCTAAATGTAACTTTTCGATTTATGAGAATGTGAACTGGTTTGGCAAACTCTCAAATCCCTCTAGAGAATAGTTAAACAGTGATTAATCATTGTTTCTTTACCGAATATGCAGGAAGAAAGGAAACCTGCATTTTATACTCTGAAGCAATTAATCCCTGTGATCTTTGCCAGCCTACTCCTGATGATAAGTCTAAAAACAAAACGGGTCTTAATTTGTTGAATTGTATATGGCAAAAAGTATAAAATGTACAATTTATTTCCCATTATGTAGTTGAGCAGAAAGTGAGAACTTGCAATTTCTAAGGGGACCACACAATGTACATGTAAAACAAGCTAAGTGAGCTAGGTAGCTGCATTTATACTGTAGCAACTACTGTTTTTTTTCCCTCTGCACATCTGGTGTAATCACTGTGCGTTTTTCATTCACTGGCTGGCATTTTTTAGTGATTGTGGCATAAATCATTTTGCTAATCAGAAACACAAGTGACTGAGAGTCATTTCTTCTTTGCACAATAGAAAAAACATATGGCTTTCCAGTCATTTCTGGTAAACAAAAAATCCATTGACATGGATATTTGCGACATTTTGATAAGGAAAATGGATCTCACATTTTAGTTAGCAACTTACATTTAGAGAGTCAGCTCTTTTGTTTTGTCCACTTGTAGTAATTTTGACATGCAATTCACATAATCTAATAAAATAATGAATTAAAAATGGACCAATAATTGCAAATAGTTTCAAACAGCTTTTTATTTTAGCCTAAGATTTTTCAATTGTAGTAGTGCATAGGTTTTAGGGAGGGGGGTCCTTACTCTTTCTTGTTTGCAAATACATTTCTAGTTGTATTTATATAATATTGTGAAATATTATTCTTTTTCACAACCAGATGCTTTACGAAGCATGTCATAAACATTATGTTCCAAATTAAATTCATGCACAGCTGACTGTGTTTATCATGCTGGTGCTGTACTGCAATGGTTTCTAGTTCTTTTTGAATTTTATTTTTTATTTTAACTTTTAATTTGAATTATTATGTACTTCAGTTGATTCAATAATCACTTGTTACCATCGTGCTCTTTGAATAATTCAAGTTATCACAGTAGCTCGCTGAGCAGACTTGTTTGCCAAATTTAGAAAACTAATAGTTCATGGCCTTTGTAAAGTATAGTTTTGTATTTCAGTCAAATGCCTTGATTTATTTTCTACTAGCTGTACCTGTTGCAACTATGCTTGCAACCAAAGGAACCAATATAGAATGTAGTATTATACTTTATATTAGATTATTATACTTTATATAAGATCATTATACTTCATATTAGATTATTATATTTATTATTACACTTTATTATGTTATTATACCTAATATAACGATAGGAGATGCCCCCCAACCATACGCCCATGACACTCTCACATGCAAGACCTTTCCGATGAGATATAAATCATGTCTCTGCGTTAATCGGTTATTATGTTATTGGCGGACGGACACACAGACAGACATTCTGTCTTTATTAGTATAGATGCCTCTAATAATAATAATTCTTGCATTTGATATAGCGCTTTTCACGTCAGGAGGACGTCCCAAAGCGCTTCACAGAACACACTGTAAAGTCAATTGACTGTATATTTGTGGGCGAACACGGCAGCCAATTGCGCACAGCAATGTCCCACAAACAGTCGTAGATTGAAAATGACCAATTTATTATTGTTTTTGGTTTTGGCGGGGTTGTATAATTTCCTGTGTCACTACTTTGCTGCAGAATACCATGCATACCTGATATTTTGGGGCGTAGTTAAAGGATTTTTTAAATATAGCTCATCAACAATAGAAGATCCCTGAAAATATGCCCATGACACTCCCCCATGTAAGGCCTTTCCGGTGAGGCATAAATCATGGATATACGACAATCGGTTATTGCGTTATTGGCAGACACACAGACAGACATTTTGTCTTTATTAGTATAGATGCAACTTCGAAACTGTACCCTGTTTACATGTTTGCCTTGTCATTGCAAATTGAAATGTTCTGTAGCAAATGACACTATAGTTATACACAACAAACTTAATGACCTTATTTGTTTAGATGTTTCCAGTCTTTCAGATGCAAGGCTGGAGATTGAGTATTTTATTGTTGGAACGAGAATCAAACCAAACAGTAACATTATCAAAACGTGTACTATGAGCTCATTGCAGAAAATTTCAAGTCGCTTCTCTTCTGCTGACTGCTTGAGTACATCAATTGAGGATGGTGTCTCCATTGCTTCCTGTTTTGGCACATTAACTCAAAGGTTATGTTTGTTGTGGTCGGACTGTGTTAGCTTTGTTCTTCTGACTTGTAAAGTTGCTGCAAGCTCGAAAACAGTGAGATCAAGTAGGCAGAAGTAATTAGATGGAGGGTTTTTTGGTATTTTTGTGGATGACAAAATGTTGGATTGATATCCACCATTTGATCTCATTCTTGCAAAATACCAATGCAATTGTCTTCTTTACACAATCACATTGTTTCTTAAATGAGGCTGTCACCCTTTCAGGGAACGTACTCTGACCGTTTATAACCTGTGTAACGAAAGAGAACTCGGTGTCTGTCCTAAAATTACTCTGCACAACTGAACGGATTTGGCAGTTGAGCCCAGCATCTTTCACTGCATGTTTATTATTTTGCTGTTGTAAGCGACGAGTCAACCGACTAGCTCTTTCAATCTCTTGGTTAGTTTTATCTATCTGTGTGGCTACTAGTTTTACTTTCTATATGCAGTACTTGGTACTGATCTGAATTGAACTTAATTTGCCATTTATTAACCCAAGTGCCTATCCTGTTAAGTTTTCACAGTTATTTAAATACCTTGTATGCCAATCCAGGTTATATTTCAAGATCCTCACCCTTGTATTCAAGTCCCTGCACTCCTCTGCACCCCCCAACTTCTCTGACCTCCTCTCTCCTCAAAACAGTACCTGTTGCCTTCGTTCCTCCGGGTCTGGCCTCCTCCTCGTCCCTCGAGTCCTCTGCTCCACCCTCAGCGGCCGTGCCTTCAGCCACTATGCCCCGAGGCTCTGGAACTACCTTCCTCACTCCCTTCGTCTTGCTCCCTCCCTTCCTATTTTCAGGTCTCTGGTGAAGACCTTTCTTTTCGACCGCGTCTTTGATCACCTTCCTCCCCCTCCCCCCGGCTCGGTCCCGGGATCCGTTACTGTAAAGCGCTCTGAGACGCCGTCCGGCGTGGAGGGCGCTATATAAATCCAAGTTGTTATATATGTATATTAGGAACAAAAAGGGTCCCAGCAAGCATCCTGAGGCGCCCCACTCAATACTTGCCATTTCAACCTTGCTCTCCTCACACTACAGTCTGCTTCCCACCCTTTAATCAGTTCCAAAAGAACACGTAATGTGGAAGTGACACAAGAGTTTATTGTTGTTTGGGTCACAAGCTTCAATGAGATCATCCAGATGTGTATTACTGGTTACGATTGTAGGGGATGAGACAGTCCATTTACATTATCAGGTGAGAGACTGTGCTAAAATGTTATTTGTTGTTAACTTAGATTCTGCTCATAAATTGGGTGTGGTTTGGCAGGACAGGTTGATAAGTCGAGGGGACATCAACCTCAAAGCATATTCTGATCACCTACCCAAACATTGGGCTGAAGCACAAAGGTCAATACTGTTAAATTCATAAATTGATTGATTCCATTTTCTAATTCATTCAATGAAAAGAAACTTGAAATCTGATTGTATTTGGAATATGCATTTTGAAGTTGGGTTGCTGCCGTTGGGACTTGTACAGACATCCATTATGAAGTAGCAGCACTGTAAATAAGCAGCAAGGCACACCGCAATGCATTAAGAGGAGAGATTTGATGCAGTGCACCAGGCTGCCCAAACATCAAATTACTATACTATGGATCAAAATTGAATGCTCCTACTTGAGTTGGGACATTTTAGTCTGGAACAAAATCACATCAGTAAATGGGTTGCGTTGAGATGGCAACAACTAATGTGGTACAGCTGCTAATTTGTTACAAAAGGAAATTAGCAGCTGCCATATAAATGAGTATTAAGTAATTCTGTCTGAAAGAGTTTGAGGTTCCAAATATGCCTTTTTTTATATTTTCCACAAATAACATTGATTTGGTGAAGTAGCAACAAAATGGACATTTGGGTATAACATGTCTGTTACCCACGACTTCAGAAACAGCAGAGGAAAACAACCATTACAGCTGTGTCTCACTGGTGTGATTTTTACTCAGAAAGATTACATGTTTTATATCTGGGAAATTGAAAATTAATTTTGAGAATAGAATCCTCTAGCGTTCTAGGCCTCTGCTGTCTTAGCATTGTGTTCCCAATTTTTGATTTTGCTAACAAGACACAGATGCAACAAAACATCTTATTTATTTTTGCATCTCTAACATTCCCTATGGGAAAATTAATATCTAA